ATCAGGGCTGTCCAAACTCGGTCCTGGAGGGCCGGTGTCCTGCAGAGTTTAGCTCCAACCCTAATTAAACGCACCTGAACCAGCTAATCAAGCTCTTACTAGGCATAGAAACTTCCAGTCAGGTGTGTTGAGGCCTCCAGGACCCAGTTTGGACAGCCCTGATCTACATGATCTGCACTAGTGATGCCAGTAATCAGAGGAGCTCTGAGCCACGACATCATGTTTCTTATCAAAAAACCTGACTCACCCTTGCAGTATGATTATTCAACATATTTCAGCAGGGGAAGCGGTGTTATTAATATTAATTATGACATTGTTAAATTAGCAAACTACATAACAGATCCCACGAGTGCAGCTGATGATGCTTTAAAGTGACTCTTGAGCAGTGTTGGGCAGTAACGCGTTACTGTAATTTGATTACTTTTTTAGTAACGGGGTAATTTAACTCGTTATAATTTTCAAAATAGTAATTAGAGTATAGTTACAAGCCGAGGTCTCTATACGTTACTGCCGCGTTACATTGCTGTGCCAGTGGATTAGAGACCTGCTCCCGCGAGACCCGACGTGTGTGTGTGTGTGTGTGTGTGTGTGTGAGAGAGAGAAATGATTCACGGGACTCCCGCAAAATAGAAATATCGAAACATAAAATATCTAATATAAATATAATATAATATAAATGATTAACAGGTGCAGAGTTTCTATTTAGGCTATAACACGTGTTTGCAGCGTTGAGCAATGCAGTGCTGAAATTTGTGTGCTCACGAATCCTCTCATTATAACACATGAATTGTAGACATTATGAACGATTCATTATGCATATACAGTATTTATTGTGTTATAACAGAGATTTGTGAGATTGCGATGAACTGCGATGTCTTTTAGAGATTATAAATGCAGCGCTCTTTGCTGGTATTCTGCCAAACCATGCACCAGCAGCCGCTTGCTTTAGTTAAAAATAACCGTGTTCTGTGAATGTTGATGCTTTAATTACAAATATTTTTCGGGAGCGTGTATGCTGGGATTTCATGGAGAAAAAAAGTAACGTAACTAGTAATGTAACCAATTACTTTTGAAATAAAGTAATCAGAAAAGTAACGTAATTACTTTTAAAAGGAGTAATCAGTAATTTAATTACATTTTCAGAGTAACTTGCCCAACACTGCTCTTGAGTGATCAAGAATATTCCATTCACAAATAAGTTCTCTTTCGAATCCTCCTTCCTCATTTCTTCATCCTAAAGAGATGGAGCTGAAGCAATGAGAGCAGGCCTTGTGTCTGGTGACGGGCCGCTTGCTGCTGCTTTTCTTCTTTACAGGAGAATATTATACTTTATAATTGCCACATACTGTGCTGCAGTCTGAACCAGAGTTTTACCCATTAACACACACATACGCAAAAGCAAGACTAAAACATACAAACATGCTTTGAATGATCCGAGTGTGTGAGAGATGTGTCCTGCTGACAGATGTGGTGTGATTCCAGGCTGTCCTTTGATAAAGAGGCGATGGTGTCTCGTGCCCGGAGGCTCATCTCTCTCTATGAGGAGGCAGGAGTCCGTAAGGAGCACATCCTCATCAAACTCTCCTCCACGTGGGAGGGCATTCAGGCCGGACAGTGAGTGTGTTCACTACAGTCAGTCTTCATTAAGATTATAAGATATTGTTCACCACAAACACGATGTGAAGCGGATTCCTTTATATGCAGCTGTTATTAATAAACTGAGCGAGAGCTGCTCTGCTGACGCCTGTGTGTTTGGCTTTTCATCAGGGAGTTGGAGGAGAAGGACGGGATCCACTGCAACATGACTCTGCCGTTCTCGTTCGCTCAGGCCGTCGCGTGTGCTGAGGCTCGCGTCACCCTCATCTCGCCCTTCGTGGGGCGTATCCTGGACTGGTACAAAGAAAACACAGACAGCAAAAACTACGAGCCCCATGAGGATCCAGGCATGTTCTCTGATAACAGAACTCGGAGAGAAACCTTTAGCGTCTTGTATCTCTCTTCATGTGTGTTGTGATGTGAAGCGTCTCGAGTAGGACAGATATCACACGCCGGGCGTATCATTGAGTGCTCGCCTGCTCAGGTTCAAGGCAGTAGCCCAAATCAGTCAATCTAACCTCCATACAGGCAAAAACGTTCAACAAAGTGACCGCAAAGAGTTGACGTTTACCGTAGGAAAAATAGTGCAACAGCACAAATAACAATCGTGGCGCAGGGGTGTCCAGTCCTGCAGAGTTCAGCTCCTGCAGTCTGAAGACCTTGATTAGCTGATTCCGGGTTAATTAGGGTACAGCTGAACTCCCTGTGTGGACACCCCTGGCTCAGAAAAGTGATGGGTGCGAAAACATTTCTCCATATGGAGTATACTTTGTTTATTATATTATTTACTTTTATTGTATACTATATTAGTATATGCTTATTTTTCCCAGCCCTAGTTATAAGCGTTAACCCTAAGTGATTGAAGCTGGATGTAGTTTGTGTGGAGCTTCTGAACGCTGTCTCGAGCGCACGAGGCTCGTGTGAATCAGAGAGTCACCGCTTCAGTGTTTGTACTAGGGCTGCAACTAACGATTGTTTTGATAATCGATTAGTTGGCCAATTATTTTTCCGGTTAATCGATTAATCTGATTTTTTTTTTTTTTTATCCTTATTTTAATTTTATTGACAAAAACACACTATTCCACATTCTGCCCAATGTCCTTCAAACAAATGTGCCGACTGAATGCTATGAAAACATGCAGTGCTCCAAGGGGTCATATGACGTTGCTAAAAAGAGCATCATTTTGTGTATTTGGTGTAATGAGATGTTTATGCGGTTTAAAATAAAAAAACACATTATTTTCCACATACTGTACATTATTGTTTCTCCTCTATGCCCCGCCTTTCTGAAGCGCGGAGATTTTTACAAAGCTCATCGTTCTGAAAAGCGAGGTGTGCTGTGATTGGCCAGCTATCCAGTGCGTTGTGATTGACCGAATACCTCAAGCGTGAGACGGAAATGTTACGCCCCGGTCTGAAGAAGAGGGAGTGAAGATGGCGGCAGGATCACGAGGAACGGAGTGGGGCGTCATGGCGAAGGAAAGACGCCGTGGCGGGTTTGGCGATGACTGTGGTGTGAATGAAGAGAATGACGGAAGTAGCATAGAAGAAGAAGATGATTTTGCAGATTTGAATTGTGGAGAGTGGAATCAGGTAGAGCTGACATCTCAGAAACGGAAAGACAGAGGCTCAGATTCGGAAGAAATCGGGGGAGAAGGAGGAAGGAGTAAAACAATGCGGACGGAGGATGAGTACAAGGTTATGTTTACATTCGCAACAATGGGAGAAATGAGTAATCCCATGCGATTAACCAAGGTTCTCAAAAAAGCATTGGGAAACATTAAATCTGCAAAATACCTATCAAACAATCGAGTGCTTGTGTTCTGTTTGAACAAAAAGCAACAAGAGATGGCTATTAAGATAAAAGAATTGGGAGGAATAGGAGTGAAATGCAATGTGCCAGGTGAAGAGAACGGAATTAAAGGGGTGATATATGGGGTTCCATTGTCACTAACTGATGAGGTACTAAGAAATCAGATTACAGGCATAAAGGTAACAGAGGTTAAACGGTTGACATCAAATAGGAATGGGAAAAGAGAAATGAGTACAACTGTAGTGATAGGTATGAATGAGAAAATTCTACCAGTAAATGTTAAAATCGGATTCATGAGCTACCCTGTGCGCCCTTACATAAAGCCTGCATTGAGATGCTTCAATTGTCAACGGTTAGGACATGTGGCAGAAGTATGTAAAGGAAAGAAAAGATGTTGCAAATGTGGAGGGGAACATGACTATGGAGAATGTGGAGATATAGTTGGACCTAAATGTTGTAATTGTGGAGGCTCTCATAGTGCTGCATATCTTGGGTGTATAGCACAAAAACAAGCAATGGAAGCAATGAAGTATAAATCAGTTCACAATGTATCTTATGCACAAGCAGTGAAGAAAATCCAAAATGATCAAGGAAACAAAATAACTGATGGAAACATCAATGAACGGGAAATTACAAGCAAAGGGACAGACAGGAATATAAATAAGGAAGATGCAAATGTGCTTATAGTCAGTAAAGTAAGTTTCATTGCATTTATTGCTGAAGTAATTAACTGTACAGCGCAAACAAACAAAAGGACTGAAAAACTGAAAATAATAATTTCTGCAGCTTCACGTCATCTGGCTATAACTGATGTAACAGTTGAGAAAATTCAAGCTCTTTTAGGTCAGTCTGAGAATAATGCCAATTCTCAGGAGGCACCAGACAAGCAAAAGCTAAACAAATAAAATGCCCTTTAGGATCGTACAATGGAATGCTAGGAGTTTATCTGCAAATGGCCAAGAGTTTAAAAAAATGATCCATGAGCTAATAAATCTCCCAGATGTTATATGTGTTCAGGAGACTTGGCTTAAACCGCAGTTGGACTTTGTCATTCCAGGGTATGTATCCGTTAGGAAAGATAGAACACAAACAGCTGGTGGGGGTTGTGCAATATTTGTGAAGAAAGGGGTTGCATATAGAGAAGTGAATATAGATACACAAGAGAGAAGCATTAAGGTGGTGGTTTAGACT